TCATGACTCTGATCTTACCAATGAATTTAATTTTTCAGGAGCAAAAAAATAACAATTTTTTTTTAAATATAGGTAAGAGTTGTTGGGGCTAAGGCCATGTCATATCAAAATTGATAGATAAGGTATACGTATAATGTACATAATAATGAGGGATATTATATTATAATATAGCCATATAGGTACCGAAGGAGTGCCAAGAAACGTATTACAAAACAGTAAGTATGTTAGTGGTAAATATTAAGTTGGCCAAATTCTTATTGGGTCATAGAATTTTTCGGAGCACCCTACCCCCACCAACACATCATGAAAACGTCGATTTGTACTATACAATAAAATATACTCACGTGGATTGGAGTTATGAAACCTGCCGTTGCCATTACGTCCTCGAGATCTACCAGCCATCGCGCCCAGTAAGTCCTCTAAACTCAACAGTCAACACCCGTGTGCGATAAACTACAGATGCCGACAACGAAAGAGGGTACGCTGAAAGATAAAGTGAGAACGCACCAATACGCGACTAAACAGTAAACAATACTGGAATATTCATTCACGATTCACGTTAATCACGGAGTCACGTCCCACAGAAAACACAATTAAAGAAAATATACAGATTACAGGTTGCACTCGGGATAGACAGTGTGATAATCAGATAATGTGAAAAAAATGTTATTTATATAGCGCCCCAAGCGAGGAAAAGTGACTCCAGTGTAGCCATAACCAATAATTATTGTACTGCGTCCAACTGTGCTTTGAATTTCCATTTTGATTTCGTGTTTGTTATTAATTATCGTCCACAAACAATACGCTTAACGGAAATAACGATTCTGTTCTGTAAAATCCAGATGTAGAAAACACGAGGTGACACGACCGTTCCCGTATTTTTCAATAATTGTACGATATTGATACCGCAGACCTTATGCTTCCATTCCGACGATGGCGCGTTTCCCTCGCCTGTGTGACGCGTTTGAACCATTGAACTCTATATCATGTCAGTATGAATGTAATGTAAATGACATTATTATTAAAAAAGCGGGACGTCAGTCCATAGCAATATAATGTATTATTATAGGTAGCTTAATGAAGTTGGTTCTATATAGTAGTTATTAGTTATCTTTTGTATTTTAGTCCGTGGTTTATGGTAAACACGTCGAACTCGACACAGAGGCGTAATTACCCACATGAGCTGTATTTTTATAGTGCCGTATACCCACAAATAGTTCAGATACAAACTTATAAATTAATAATTATTATTAAACTAAAAAATAAAATAAAATATTTAGTTGTGTTAGTACGGATCATAAATATTTACTCGGTAAACGATGAGCATGATTTTAAAATATATGGTGTTTCATTTTAATTCTTATTTATTAATAAACACTTGGGTGACCTGCCACACATGTACCTAATTACAGTACCTACTTCCTACACGGCTACACACTATACACACTATACATGCATATTATAGATTATAGATGGTAAGTAATCCGATGATGGGTAAAACCACTATACCAAAAATTAAAATTTAATAATAAAAATGTACTTGGATATTAGTAATTTGTTGTCAATAGAGAGTTTGGACTTGAGGATAGGCCGTAAAAGGTGAAGTCTGGTGTTAAGAGTCTTTCTTTTAATTTTGAGGTGTGGGCCCCAAGTTAAACGCTTGTCTAAAATTAGACCCAAGTGCTAAGTATTGGTTTGAGTTAGGACAATATTTTAATAAAAAATAAAAGTAATAATAATATTGCGTGAGTGAAATGTTGCAACCCAGAAAGTTCAAAAAATCGAAAATACACTCTCGGCGGTTTCGAATAATAATGACCAAAAAAATTGTTTTTAGCGAAAATGAAATTAACCTATTGTAGTACTATTTCCCAAAAGTGAAATGAATTACTTTAATCATAGTAACATCATCAAATATACTAAGTAATATCATAGGCTGACAGCCGTCTACGGCTCTACGCTCAGAATAGTTTTTCATACACAATGATGTTATATCATTATTCATTGAAATATTGAATTCAAATTCAACATCATTCATTACAGTGACCCACTTGCACTCGTGACCTACTGTACAACAGAGTGACATTTCCTTACACGCTTTCTGAATGAATAACAAACATGATTTTTATTTTAAACAATATGTTAATTAATAATTATAATCTATATTATTATCACCGGTTTCATAATACTATGTAGGCAAGGTGTACTTAAAAGTTATAAGTAGCCAGTAGGTACGCTTGGTTTATATTTAATATAGGTAACAATATATTAGCCATAAGGTATATCCACAGATAAACATTTAATATATTACCTGAGATAATTATTTAGTTCACGTTTTCACAAGTTGTAATTAGGCTTAATAATATGTCAATTTAAGTAAATCATCAATAAGATATTTTTAGTCTCGATCACACAATCAAAACGTTTTTTTTTTTTTTAATTTTAAATTAATGCATTTATAGTATTGTATTAATAGTATTTAATAGGGTTCCCAATATTTTTCTGGCCGATACAAAATCAATAACAAAACATCGTTACGATAGATTTGACTAGTATAAATTATTTTTGTAACTCGAAAATTATTTTCAAGTATTGATCACTACCCACTAGCTAAGCTACCTTGAAGCATCTCTGTGCGCATCGTGTCCTATACGTTGTCAGTATTAATTGTTGTATCGTTGTACGCGTTAAGTCATAAAATAAAATAAGTCTACCGTAGATTCTAACGACACCGTAATGCTGGAGTTAACGGAAGGACAAAAGATGTAGAGGATATTTTAAGATCTGAGATCGGCAAAGTTCAACATTCCAACTAAATTGCCGACACGGGTTGGAACTTGGCCGACGTTGAAAAGACACGAGTCTACGCCGAACGTGGCCACGACTTGTCATCAACCAGCCGCAGCAGGAGACTCCGGAGTCTACCACCAGTGTTTGTCCGCTCCGGCCGAGATGTCCTGCAAGCCTTTAGAGCTTTCCGACGTGCTGACACAAAACGGACCCCGTTCAGTCCATCGGACCTCGAGATGTCCGTTCCAAAGGACGCAGGATCCAACGCATCGCAGCAGGATAATGGTGCTGTGAGTTCGATGGATACGCCGAAAGGAGTTAACACGTTATCGTGTACGTCCGTGCATTCGGCGCCCGAACTACCAGCAACGGCGCCCAAAGTCCGGGAGACAAGCGAATTTGAAGACTGTTCAGCGCAGAGTCGATGATGGTCCTCAGCGCCAAATATACATATGACTTTTGGACTGGTGGACCACCCGGAACGGGAAACAGAATGCAGCGACGGCAACGAGCAGGAGTTGGCCAGTGTCCCGATAAATCCTAAACGGCGTCGCTCATTATGGAGCCGGACGAAGAAATTCGTCCGGCGCATGTTTTGCTGCGCCATTTAGAGGGTGACCGCAATCACCACTTAGTTGCTGAATGAAGTAATGCATTATCACCGAAATAATTAGAAAACAATTTTTGTTCGTGAACTTGATTTACATAAATAAACTTGCAGCTTTGTTATGCTACTTGTCTAGTTGGTTTTTAATTGAAATAGTATTATTATATTATAATCAAACGCATCAACATTCAACACCCTAGCGTAAAATTAATTTATGTAGCTTGTGAAAATCGTAACTTTATTGTAAATCTCTAACCTCTATAAGTCTATAATATTGTACCAAAAAAATCCTTGAACAAAAAAAATAATTTTTTGTAATAAAATTAATATTCAAATAGATTTCCAAATAGTTAGGTTCGTTACAGTTATATCTTATATTACTTAAAATATGTTTGTACAAAGAAAAACTACGTTCTGAAATGAAATATGCAAAAAGTACATAACTCAGGTTGATACTTTATACAACACAATATTTGATCAGATTTGATTCATCGTGTGTGCGATGTCAATTAAAGTCGGTTTTTAGTTATGTGTTATAAGTTTATAACTGATAAGCAGTGCTGGAAAGTTACAGCATTTGCTAATTATTATTTATTTTTGGCTCTGGCAGATAGTGCCACTGAAACTCATGTCAACATTATGTTATAATTAACTCAAATATTAAATTTGAAAATTCTGTTCTTTTTTTTTGTACTTGGATTATTTTAAAAATGAGGGAAATATTTTATTCCTGTTTTAAATTTATTGACCAGTTGTCCGGAACACATTATTATTATCATGTTTTGAGACAGTCAGCCGCTCCAAAACTCAGACGACATTTTAACAATATTTAATACGTGACTCGCGCTGTAAATATTATCACATTTTCTTATTCTTATACTCAAGGCGTAGGCCGTGGGCACGTCCGAGACGATTACAGACGGACGCAGCATCCGTGGGTACGATACTCGTATCAAGGGGGCCAGGAGAAGTAGAGGGAAGGCCTCCATTTTCAGATGTGATTTGACCAGACAAGCCAGAGCCCCATCAGTATTTTGCTCCTATTAATTTGGAGTTAGAATAATTTAGAACAGTGAATTATTTGGACTTAGAAAAATGTTCAAGTCAAACCGATTATTTTCTAAACACTTAGAATCATTCTCAGAGTCAAATATTTTAATACAGTGTAATAGTTTACCAGTTAAATTGTAAGTGCCTACATTTAAATAATACATTAAAATTATAAAACATTCAATGGTACTCAAGCTAACTTCAAAAAGTACACCTCATCCTCTTCCTTTCAGCAACACCTGTAGTCCCCACTAGAATATTTTTTAAGTTGCTCATGCAAAGATGCAAATATTAATTATTTATCATACTTTAACCATGGCAGTTTGTTAGTTCAGAATTTATTATATATAATATTTCTAAACTTTAAATATAAAATAATACAGGTTATTAACTTAGTATGTAGTAACATTTTTAAAGCAAGCTACTAATACATGAAATAGGTGGGTAGGTGCTAGATGTAAAAGATTTTTGAATGTGCAGGTAAAATACTAAAAGTACAATAAGTAATTATAATAATTAAAACTAAAAAGATCAACAAATATATTTAAACTTCTTCTTTATACAATATAACACATAAAATAATAATTTAATCTTCATTAGTGTTTATATGCTATTGGAGGAATATTAGATTTTAGTTGTAAATAGCACAATGTAGCTTTGGCGAAATCCCAATTATTTTCGACTAAGCACCTAGAAAAAAAATTTTAAAAAAAATTATTTATAGTACAATAGACCTTCTTAATGTTTTTACAAAATGGAATTTGATAAAATTTATTTTAGTTAAATGTTCATAGGAAAGTGGATAAACAAAACCAAATGCATTTTCATAGGTAGTCCAACAATATTTTAATAAATACCAATTAATGAATATAATACATGTATCTTACTTTTTTGACCATTTATTGTTCATTCCTGACTCATTTGAAAACCTCTTAATCATTAACAATTCGTTATTAGAATTGCCAATATGATTTTTGGTGGAATTTAAATGCATTTTGGTTGATGTTGTAGAATTTTGTGACTCTATTAGTTTTGTGTTGGGTATAGGAAATGATAATTTAGGATTGGACATGGGACATGATGCATTTAACTGTTGAGAGTTAAATAGGATACCAACTGTTGGTGCTGTCTGTTGTTGGTGAGATGATTGCAAGTTCTGTATGATAGATGTCTGAAAATCAGTTTGACAATCTGATGTTTGCTGTGCATTCTTAGGCGATGAAAACGGAGAGAGTTGTTTAGACAAAAAAGATGTCGATGGTGAACAGTTGGGTATGGTTGTCTTGAAACCTAAAGTCGACAATACGTCAGGCAATGTATCCTCTATTTTTGTTTGTAAACTGTCTCTATTATATGTATTATTTGCTATCGTTGGCTCAAAAATATAGAATCGCTTTGTTGATTCCTAAAAATACACATTTATAATAAACCTTGTTAAAAAAATAAGACCAAAACCATTTACTTACTGCCGCCAACTCGGAGGTGACTAATGTTACAAACATCATGTCACTTAAAATAATCCAACCATTTACAGCTGGCACTAAACAGAATATTCTACTAAATGATCGAAATACTTGATAATTGTGGTTTTCATTAAATTCCTCCGCAAACACACCGTTCACTATAACTTGAATTATTGTAGACTTTGGAAAATAAAAATAGTTTTAAAATTAAATTAAAATAAAAACTTAAAGACTTACACTTGCAAATGGTACATCAATTATGAACGAACCAAAGTCGTGTTTGGTTTTGGGTAACTTTTCAAAAATGCTTATTATATTTGCTTTACCCTTGTGTACAAAACTATTTTTATTTTTGTTCAGGCCGGATATCAACAAATTTTGACTATTTGGCGTGTAATCCGCCAGATTACCAGGGTTACTAAAATTCATAATGATATAGACAATTAAATTATTAGTCATGAAGATCTTATGAAATAGGATTTTCAAATACATACCAGTTTTTTAGTAAACAACTGGACAGTGAAAATGTGGCATTTTCATGATATACTTCCAATACCATTTGCCTTGATATTTTATCGTCATACTGTTCATAGAATTTTTTTAGGAATAATTCTACTAAAGTCATTAATGGATTTGATTGTATTAAGTTACAGCTATACTGTAGTATTGGGTAACTATTTCCCAGGTTGACTGGCATTTTCCACTTAGGACTAACATTGGCCAAAGAAGGTAAATTTAAGTTATCCTGTAAAAAGGAATAATATTACATCATAACTTCTAAGAAATCTTCTAACCCAAATTAAATGTAAATAACATTATGAAATTTGTACACCGGTGTTCTTTTTTTACAGATTCATTTCTTTTTTTCAACTGAATCTTTATTAACCTTTATTTGGTTTTTAAAATATAAATTGGCAATTGTATTTAGCATATTGATAAATAGGAGACTATGTTAATAATTTGTGTCTAAGCCAATTTTTTTTTTTTAAATATCTTAACTTATCTTATTATTTTAATAAATTCAGAAAACATTTATAATTTTTATTTTTCAGAAAGTAATACCTTGATATTATAATATTCCAATTTATTTTTGTCTATATATTATACTATGTAAACATTTTAGTTTGACATAAATTAAGTCTATCTGTTGAAGTAGGTAACTTGAACTAAATGAAAAATTTAACGAACTTGAAGATATTAAATTAATTGGTAGTTAATAATTTAATTAGTTCTTCACAAATAATTCATACTGGTACCAAAAATCTAAAAAAAATATACACACAATATTTTTTTTTTAGATATTATCCTAAGCTTAAATGTTGACAAAATTAGATTATAGTTATTTTGTTGTAATTCAAAATTTTTTTTTTCAGAGATTTTAACTCTTATGTAAATAATTGGTTAGCAGAATTTTGGTCCTATTCAGAAGGTTCAGATAATGTTTACTCCAACAATGTTAGTCCAATCTATATTGTTCTATAAACTTAAGGTCAGAATACGCAATAATTCAATACATTTTTTGTCTTATTTTTGAAGTCCAAAAAATAATAATAATAATCCAATACAGTTTTTTTTTTTAAAGTTCTTGATAAATTACCAGATAGAAATGCAATTAAACGAATGCTAAACTTAAAACACTACAGAATGAGACCTCTTATACCACGTCATGTTTTTTTTTTTTTTTGAAATGGAAATTCACTATTCCTTATTCCCTTCTATTAATTAAAAAAATTTTACTAACAAAAAATTATAGTCGAAAATTACATAAGCCTATTATAGTTTAACACAAGTCAAGATATTTTGAAAATTTTATGGTGTATAGAAAATGCAAATATAAACACTCAGTAAAAATTTCACGTATCTAGGGTATTTTTTTTTAAGCTACATCAAAAACCAAAACCGGTTTATTTGAAAATAGGTTTTCCATAAAAAATTAGTATTTCTTTAGTTTTTTGTTTGTTTTTCCTGCTGCTTTTGAAATTTATCAGGAATTAAATTAAATTTATAAAATGTATAATTGCTATCAACTTTTGAACTATTATTGCATTTCCAAAGTTTGGTTTGAATAGGTTCATAGTATCAATAGGCAATCGCTTAAGAAGACACCATACAAGCATTTGCAGTCTCCACCTCACCTTACAAGCTTACAACATGGCATATTCTAAGTTCACAATAATACATTTAACTCTGTAATTTCTAAATTTAGAGCGAATTTACATTTATAAAATTTAAAAGCAAAAATGTTATCTAGGGCATCTCTGAGGATTTTATTGATATTATTATTTCTAAGTTATGGTAATTTAAAGGTAAACAAAAAATGTACAATTGTACAGTATATAAAAGGTCATAACTTACTTATACATAATAATATCAATAAAATTCTCTGAGATGCCCTAGGTGATATTCTTGCCTTTAAATTTCATATTTTTAGAAGAGGTAAATTCTCTCTAGTTTTAGAAATTACAGAGTAAAATATATTATAATTATTATTATAATAATAATTGTAAACGTACAATTTGCCATTTTGTAAGTTTGTAAGATAGAGACAACAAATGCCAGTGTGGTGTCCTCTTAAAATTAATCTAAATGTTTTAAGAGATATCAATACCGACCATTTTTAAGGAGTTCAAGATAGACAATTTTCTATGTCTGCGGCATATTTGCCATGTCTGGTCAAATAAAATGAGTGCATACTGCGTAGTAAATGATCATTAGTTGAGTGATTGTGTAAAAAAAATAATTATCTGAGTCTGCACAGTGCACATCAATAACACCAATTTACAAGCTAATTATAAATGTGTCTTTTAGTGAAACACTGAAACATAGTTTGGTATTTTCAATAATATAACTTAATGAGTGACATTATAGTATGAACACTTATTATACAAATTGAAGAGGAGAAGTTTATCTAGGCCAGTATATAAGTCGATTTATAAATAATCCATAAATACTTTCAATTGTTATTTTTAGATGACCAAGTCACTAAAAGTCAAATACTATATAGGTACTAAAAAAAGCTCATGTTCAGATAATATTTTGAATTTTAAACAAAGTAAGATATGTTTACCATAATTATATTATTCTTAAATGACAAAAATTGTCATAATATTGTAAAGCTAGATCTATTGAATCATCTATCTAATAGTTTTTAACGTATAAGAAGTGTAATAAGATAAAATGACATCAATTTTGAACTTACCAACTTGATTAACATAGGAAATAATTTTTGTACATCCCTGTAACAATAATAACATATTATTTGTATGACAAACAGGTATAAATGGGACAAAATAAACCACAACAATAAAACAGTTATCTAATTCTTTTTTTTTAAGTTATCATTTTTTAAAATTAAAAAAATTATTTTTTGTAATAATCGTTTCCAAACAAATTGTGTTGAACTTTTTTGTATTCGTTTGACATATTACCTTTAGATACAACTTTAGTGCCAGGGTGTAAATATAATTATGGTAGTGAGGTTGTAGGACATTTCTGAGGTACCTATTAATATCATCATATCATCATAAGGTCTAGAAAGAAGAAGACGTAAAACAGTGAAATATGCAATCATACTTTTAAGTTAAGAGTGCTGGACAACTACTATTTTGGATATTAGTCATTGGCTTAGAGTATACAACGGAAAGGTATTTTAGGATTTATCAAGTGTCACCCACAAGTGAATGATGATGCAACAGAGATAATTTGATTTAAAAAATTGAATTCTGTTTATCACACAAGAATTATTTTAGTTTATCTTAATTCACATTGAGTTAATGCACATCAACAATTGTGTATAAATGTGGTAAAAAATATTTTTAAACAAGGATTTCATTCATATTATAAGTTGATTTTCACAAATCAATCAATAATAGTTTTACCAAACAATAAATTTAAGGCAATAAAAAATATTAAAATAGAATGTATTATACACTTTTAAAAAATATAAAAACAAAAAAAATTGAGTGTATTGTAAAAAACAAAAGAATTGTGTCATTTATATTTGCTCACCGTCTGTAACACTCTTTGTCCATTGAATTGCATACTGGATTTCTGGACAAATTGAGCACATCAATTGTATAACCAAAGAGACTCCTTAGTTCATTTAAATCAGACAACTGCAACAAACATTATTTTAGCATATTGGTCCAATAAAAGCAAAAAATATAGAATACATTACTTTGTTACCAGCTAAATCTAACACTTTCAATTCAGGGAACAATCTACGTATCCATATAAGCCCTTCACCTAAATATATGCAATTGTTGGCAAGATTCAAACAATACAAGTCATGCTTGGTATATTGGGCAGCCATATTGAGTGCTGCCAAAAGAACGGCTGGTCGATTTAATGGTACAAAAAGTTGATCATTGGTAAACACTAAAACAAAAATAAACTTTTTTTTTACAACAATTAACTTAACAGTTAACATAAAATAAACTTTTACATACGTGGACAAGCATAAAATTGAGATAAATCCAAAATCTTGGTACTAGAATTGTAACGAATCACCATGGCCTTCATCATTTTCTCTCTTGCTTCTCTGGATATTGGTGTGAATGATATAAGACTTCGTTTAGGTAAATATGGTAGGACCTTTATAGTTAGCTATATACAAATGTTGTATATTAAAATATATTTCTAAAGCTCAATCACACACCTACAACTGAGCAATTTAAACTTACTTTTTGATCATCTCTTTGTAATATCTTACGGCTAGTATTGTGCAATGCTATAGCAACTTTATAATCATCAACAAGAAATCTTAATGAGTTATCAGAAGATTGTTTCTAGAAAATGAAAATATAAATATTGAGTATTAAACTGTTTTACAAGTATTGTATGAAAACTTATATTAGAAAGAGTAATTAATATTAAAATAGCATAGGTACATTGTATGGATAAAATAATACTGGTGAGATATGGATTTTAATTTTGTCCAATGCTTCATCAAATTCTTCAGCATTTGTCACCTTAAAAACCAGAATAACTATTATTTAAACACATTGTACAATGGGTATATTAAAAATTAGAACTTACAATTATTGAATACCAACCAGTTATACTTTCTTTTACGGCGTAAGATGAGTTTTTTAAGTTGCTAAGACCACCACGGCTACCATTCCTGTCAGAAAAATATATAACATTCAATTATAATAAAGATGCGTAATTTTTTTTTTATAAATACTTATTGACAAGAGTGTAGGCAAAGGAGAATTTTCACCCCATCTGTAGCTAACAAATATATTTATGTTTAAAAAAAATTGTTAATAGGAGTTAACATTTTAAAATACACTTAGTTGAGCCCCCCCCCCCTGATAACATTTTTAGCTATGCTCTTGCCTATTAATGGCAATACATTGAATACTTTAATACTTAAATCAGTTGGTTATCAGTGGCCGTCGCGAAAGGTCATTAACCGCCGTCTCTGCCGGTGACACATATTATTACGTAATAAGCAATCTGCATAATCCCTTGAAGTGGTGGCTAATGGCTATCGTTACTTACCTCTATCAAACTTATGCGAAGACGATAACGATGATAATATGAGCTTAGTAACTCAAAGTGACGATAAAGTTCAACAACACTGAGGTTATTAAAAATATACCACCTATATATATGCACACAATATAAAAGATTTCGAAAACTTTCATAACACACTAGGACAAACGATTACTGAAGAATTTTTGATCACCTAAACAAAAATGCTTGAAAAATAAATTAGTCATCAATCGATGTCTATAGATTTGTTACGAAAATATTTGACGAATCAGAAATTGAATACCACACCTACCAGTTTCCATCGGAAGAACTACTCTCTGAGGAGTCCATATTTAAAAAGTTAACAGATTTGGATTTCGGTGTAACCTCCGTCACACGTTGCAAAATCGATCTAAATGACATATACCTTTTGTTGCTGTCTTACCATCTAAATCAACCAAAGAATGTTTATTATTTAGACTTTAATATTGTGTCATCCTAGTTGAATCTAGGAAACTTACAAAACGTATTCCACGATGTGAACGCTTCTCGCACACAAAAAATAGTGGCATCTCCTACCTAAATGTGCTAAATTTTAAATGCGCCAGTGACCAACATTTCACCCATGTGTTAAGGACAAAGACACTTCTCTGAAATGTGTCAACTACGACAAAAGCATCCAGTTAGCTATAGAGGGTGTGCAAATTATACTAACTTAATAATAATAGAAATAATTTATTAACATTTCTTAATCACCACAATATAGATATGGCTTGAATAACTGAAACTCACTTATCAAATCACCGAAAGAATTAAATTCCCCGGCTACAAAATACATCGTGTAAACTGAGTCACACAAGTTCGTGCTATGGGCTACGCCAGTCTTAGGAATCTAGGACGTGTCCAGTACCACTCAAATTTGCGGAGGGAAGCGTCCAAATACAAAGCCTTAGTTTCAATATAATTATTTAACAAGAAATGCCTCTAACCGTTCGAGTGTCTGGAAGCCGGAGCAGTTTTGTTAAAAGGATGTTACATTGGCATTTGTTGTCTCCGTCTTACAAGTGCGTAACATAGCAAATTTACACACGGCAGATCACGTATGGTAGGCGAAAAGAAGACTAAAAAAATAAACACACCAGGGAAAAAAGCGCACGGAGATAAAAGACCAAGGGAGTACCATACAATTGTATCATTTTAAAAATATTTCGTTGTTATAATTCGAAAAAGCATTCAAGTGTACACGAATGAAGTAGGTTATTCATATTTTTAAGAACTGGAAATTTACCATTTATCTGTACTTTTTTTTGACTGGTTAATATATACAACCTATATCGGTAAGTAGTAAATACTGAACTATATAAATTAAATTAAATTAAATGTAAAAATGATTATCAATAATTGAGTAATAAAAATTTTATTTATTGACAGGTGATCTATTGGTATGTATCCATTCCCCTTGTACTAAACTTGAGCAACTAACTAATATTATAGGTACTACCTACTGTTTTGTATTGAATTATAATTTATTTTTATAGTTGTGTAATTTTTGTATAAATGTACAGTAATCTATACAGATACTAGGTAAACTATATAAAATGAAATCGCTTTCTTTTGTTCGGGATAAACTCTCAAAATACTTATTCAATCGTAATGCAGTTTTTTTTAAATCAAAGAGGACATCACAGAAGAGGTTTTAGGCATAAATCTCGTAGTCCGAATAAGTTAATAAATAATTAGTTTTGATTAATTAAAATAAACGTGTAAATTGTATACTTATACCTTTTTTTTAGTAAGAAATAGTCGCTGACTGAAAATAAATAACAATCAAACTCGATAACCACAAATGCTTCTAGGCAGGTCGGTATCGACGGAATAATAAACAATTATTATAATTAATTAGTTTAGCGGAAAAAAAAAACAATTAATTTTATCGGAGTATCTATAGATACTCATTAGTATTTATAATCAATAGTGTTATATTAGTTATTGGTAAAAAATAACTAATAACTATCGAATTTTCACAAATTGCTTGTTAAGATGGTTGAGTTGCACTTATAGTCTTTTGGCGTATCCACAGTCAAAATAAAAAATATTATTCATGTTAAGTATTTACCTAACGTGGGGTACGACAATAATAGTATGACATAATATAATATAATATCCTACCTGATAATATATTGCTCGCATTATAACAAACGAGTCTCATGTATAAATTTGGTATTTTCAACGTGCAACGAAATGCACGGGATCAGCTAGTGTACATAATATGTACATAAGACTGATGTTTTTTTACTGTAAAGGTTCTATATATCATTAACTACCTAATTACTCAATACAAACAATTTATAATTATATATTATAAATGTATAACTTATAACACACTATAGTATGAATATTTGAATCTTTTTTGGTGGGCTTTTTCTCCGCGATTTATCACTTATAGCTTGGTTAGTTTAAAAATTAGAGTGAATCATCCTATTCTGAAACATGATGGTAAGAACATTATCTGAGTATGAATGTTGGTTTTCAATTTTTTAGAAAATTATGAATATACCATCATATAGCGTAAATTAAAAATGATCATGACTCACTTAAAAATTGAACTATTGTAAAAACTAACATACAAACACAGATAATGTTCTTAACATCAAATTTCATTATATGTCGATTCAATCTAATTTTTAAACGAACGAAGCCACACGCGATCTTCTGAGCGTAAATTTGCCATGATAGACCAATTATATGGTCGTAAGTGCTTATCAACCACCCAATCGTAGAAATGTAGAATGCATATCGCTGATTACGATAAATTATTGATCCTACACAATTTAATTATAATTGCCGGAGACCTAAGCTCTAAACACGCTAATTGGGGCTGTGGTGTCAACAACCCGAACAGTGTCATACTTCAAACTTTTATTGCTAACACACCTTACACAATATCTGCACTAAATGAGTACCTACTTTCCTACGGACATTAATAGACTACCAGATATCTTAGTTTTTTTATTAATAAAATTAAACTCTGACCACATGACCACATACCAGTAAAAATTACAATTCGTCTTCACAATCTTATCAGTCCAACAATTCGTTAATTAAATGTTAACTTATCTGGAATATATTCTCTAATCAAGTAAGCTCAAATTTAATAATACCAAAAATTATACTAACGACCCAAGTAGTAGCTGATAAAATGTTCGAATTTACAGTCATTGCGGAAATCGCGAAGCGTACCCTAAGCCCATGCAACACACAATACAGAGAACATCGGCTTTTACCACAATATATGAGTATATCTTCCTTAATTCAAATCAAACACCATATCACTATTTGGCAAAACAAAATAAATACAGCAAATAAAAAGTCATTAACTTACTAAAGACGTGAAAACGGCCCTACAAAACTACAGCGTCGTCACCTATAACAACTATTTGTCAAATAGGTATACACCCAGGTGATTCAAATTTATGGAAGGCGACCAAGACTAGACTATTGAACCAAGAAATAAACATATTTCCCCCCTCTCCGTGCACCAAATCAACTATTGATATCCGAAGTAGACAATTGTAACGTTTTTTTTTTGGAAATGTTACACAGCTCATTTTCTACCAATCCGGGCAATCAAATAATTGATATAAAACATAAACGACAGGTCCATTAAATCAATTAATTTATCAATCGGTCAAAGAACGTATGAGTTATGTTACACTAAATGAAATTAAGCTGACTATAAAAAAAACTTAATAAAAATCTTAGGGTCACAACCACATTACCAACCCCATGTTTAAAAAACTTAGAACTCGTCTTTAAGATCTCATTATTTAAGTTTTTGCTGCACCTTGGACACTTCCCACTCAATTGGAAGATAGCAACAGTCATTCTTATCAAAAACTAGGAAAGGACAAAACAAATCTTGATAACTATAGACCGATAAAAGTTTATTAACCTCCTTATCAAAAATATTCGAAAAAGTTATACACAGTAGAATCTAGAGACTAGACTACAAAACTATTTGTTTAGAGCAGATCTCATCCCGAAATTCCAAATTGGGTTTCGAATTTTCGATCTAACCACTTGACAGTAGAACAGATTTTTCATATAACGAAACATATCAGTACTTAATTTGAAAATCACAACCATACCAGTGTTGTATTTATCGACGTATCTACAGCGTTCGACAAAGTATGGTCACGAACGTCTTTTACACAAATTAAAATTCTTCAATACACCAAAATATTTATTTAATATTATTAACTCCTATTCATATAACAGACAATTCTCGGTCAAAATAATGACTATTTCCGACCTACAGCCCATCTCTGCTGGTGTACCTCAAACCTGTCTTATTCGATATTTTCATACCTAAAATACCACAATCACCACGTACCAACATTATCCTTTTCACAGATGAAACAATTTATAGCGAATTCCGTGATCTTGAAGCGATAACAAACAACCTACAAGATCACCCTTAATATACTTTCAAAATTGTGTAAAAGTAGAAAAATTCAAATAAACGCTTCAAAAAGCACAACAGTTATAATTAGCCAACGTCGCTATTCCAGTCACTTCCACAAGTTCAAAGACGTCTCAAACGTGGCCATATACAAAATCTTATTAGTTAATTATTACAGTATTGTCAGTATTATTAAATTATAGGTACGCCTAATTTTATTTACAAATTATATATGATCTATAATCTATATATATATATATAGTATAATTATTCTACTATACTTACACATATTTAGGTTTAAGGGGATTCGATACCGTCATTTTCTGTTTTTGTCTAACACACGCGTGACATAGTAATTTAGACGTGTTTTTTGCCAAATATGATTACCAATTGATCTAATGAAGCGATAAGAATTCTAAAAACAGATTTGAATTTTTCGTCAAGTCTACTTGAAATCGACTTTCCTACATTTATGATTTTTTGATTTTAACTTCTCCGAAAATTGAAATACAAAAATTTTTAAATGCTCTTTTTTAATATGACATTTTTAGGAATTTGGGGGTCAATATCAAAAATGTGGGAAAGTCGATTTTAAGTAGACTTAACGACAAATTCAAATCTGTTTTCAGATTTATTATCGCTTCATTAGATCAATTAGTATGTTTGGCAAAAAACACGTCTAAATTACTATGTCACGCGTGTGTTCGACAAAAACAGAAAATGACGGTATCGAATCCTCTTAATGTCAAATCAACCTTGGGTATCATTAATAGTGTTATATTATTAATTTATATTATCATGTTAAAATTGTCAAAAATTACCAACTCTGTAAATATCTGTAGATATAGATAGCCTACAAAAGCTAGGATTGTCTTATTATAATACAATTTAAAAAAAAAATACTTAAATACCTTTGATGAATATTATTTCTGGATGATCCATTATGTTTTGAAAATTCAACATCCAACTGATTTTGAACGAAGCCGGTTTCATTACCCCAGTTTTTACAAATAGTTTTATCACCATAGTTGTATGGTTTGAATGAAACCTTTTGATTATAACTTCGACGATATTGGTAGCATCCACTTCTTTGAAGAATGTCAGGTTTTGAAGTGGAATTATTGTTATGTTCACTATCTAAAAATTAGTGTCATAGATTGCATAAATAATTAAATTTGGAACATAGACTAAACATATACAGGGTGATTTTTTAAGCATGCTCATCCGCCATTTTCATCATCCATATTTCTCTTTAGCACTTGCTTTAATAGTGGATACTCTAAAAGTTTCAAGTACCCACAGAAACTTTTAATTCAAAATAACATAAATTATTATTCTGGGATATTTAATATGTAATTTTGTGCACATTTGAACATAAGAAACTAAAAAAAAACCAGTTTTTTAATAACCCTTAGCTATAAAAGTTAAAGATTAAAAAAAATTGTATTTATAAAATTATTTGTAAATGTTGAATGATATGATTTTGTCAACATTTGAACTTTAAATGCTTAAAAAAAAATCGTGCAAATGTATTTTTAATATTTTTCAAGTGATATTGTAAATATATTAAATCAGGAGCCTTGTATTTCATTTTCAAGCTTTTTGACCCAACAAAATTGTATTGACATTTATAGAAAAAAAAAAACATTAAAATAGAAAATATCCGTAAACAGCTCATAACGAGTCAAAATATTTTTATATTTTGTCAAGTATATGAATAGAGAATACAAACAAATGGTGCACATTTCAAGTATCTGCAGCAGTTATTGTTTTTTTAATTACAACAAAATAAGAAAATCGCTACCTACATAAGAAATGGAGAGAATATCAAATGTTGTTAACACTTCTACTTCAAACGCTCATAAAAATTTAATTTGACTTTCCAGTAGAATTTTTTTTTTTTTGATTAAGGTATACAAACTTATAAGGAATCCTGTATTAAAACTTAAAATCTTGAATATAAAAAAAAAAATTTTTTATGAAGTTTTCACTCAATATAATTTGCAATTTTTCGTGATTTTTATGAATTTTGTCAAATTCTCAATTCAAACACTCATAAAAAATATATTGTGGATTTACGATCAACTTTTTTTTTTAATTTTCAATAATAACAACTAGGAACCTTATATTATATTTTCAGGTTTTTTGATCAAGCGAAAAATTTTTTATCGACATATGTTTACGAATAATAATCGAAAATATTATACGCCTATAAATAGTTTAACACGAGTCAAAATATATTGGGAATTTTTTTACTTTTGACTTCCACCCAAAATACCAACTAGATTCACTTTCCTACTAGAAAATATGCTGTTAGAGAAAATCGAAGCACTTTTATTGTCTCATAACGTGATGATAGACATAAAAAAAATATAAATAAAAAAAACACACATCATTGTAAAGTCAATATATTCATCCCTCCGCTCAGAATCTAAAATGTATAGTACATTTTATTTAGTAATTTAGTATTTACAATATAAATTAGTAGATAAAATAAAGAAATAAATAACAAAAAAAACATCATAAGTCAACATTTGAATGAATGTTTAAAAATAACCCAACAATATTTATTTATACTGTTTATTATAGATTATATTCCATGGAATTATTTATATATACCTAAATAACATAATATTACTCCCTAATATTTGTTTTATATTATTTTCTCTCAGCCAATTAGTTAAGTACCTATATTTATTTATAAGTATATAAATGTACACATTCTTAAATGGGAATAGGTATTCCTATTTAAATATTAATTTAGTATTTACAATGGTATTTAGTATTTACTGTTATTTTATTCCAAAGAGCCAACACACATCAATAATATTGTTAGGTACTGCATAATGTGCTATGACGTATTGTTACACTTATACATTTTAAGTTATACCTATAAAAAATAACCTTTGTTTCATAATTTAATAATATTATTACATTCTGTTAAATTGTTTTGCGTCTTACCACGTTTTCATACTAGATTTTTTAACCCTCAATGCAAGGGTATAAAACAAACCGGAATAAATGTATCAATATTGAGATACAGAGATTGATAAATATTTTGTGAAAACTAGTTAGGACTAAATCCAGTTAATTTAAACTACAAATCGATAAGAAACGAGTATATATTTTATATTTTTCTTTTTCTTTTTCTTTCATTCTAAAGTTAATAGGGTATCTATGTTTAGCTGGGATAAAATCGAGGATAAAATCAAACATGTTGAAAAGTCTATCTCAATACTACGAAAATTTCTATTCTTTTTTCAAAATTCTTATCGCTTCACTAGATTACATAGGAAAGAAAGCAAGCCTAAATTACCATGTATAACGTGTGTTTCACAAAGACAGCAAATCTCCTTGAAACAAAAAAGGAGAAGCTGCTGGTTCCGAGGGAGAAGCCATTGTACACACATATTTACATTTACAAGAATATAATAGTTTTATTAAAAAAAAAATTTCGAAAAATTGAAACAGCACAAGGTAGCAATTGACCCCAAAACCGAAACTTCCCGTAACAATGTCAGCATAGTGAATACTGCGTAGCGTGAGCGTGGCAAATTTGAAATTTTTTAGAGGTCTAACTTTGTCTAGTCTAATATTCTACCTACTCACCAAAAACTTGATTAGAAAACGTTATACGGACATTTGTTGTCTCCGTCTTACAAGTGGATAACATCCTAAAATTTAAGCTTAGCAGACCACGTTTAGCTTCGTAAGTTTAAAAATTAGAGTGAATTAACTTCTTAAGAAATTTAAAGGTCAGATTTTATCTAGAGCGTCGTCTCATGGGCTTTTTTTGAACTAACGAAACTAAACACGATCTGCTGAGCGCAAAATTTCCTATGTTACGCACTTGTAAGACGTAGACAACAAATGTCCGTGTAAAGTCTTCTTGATTACTGTCTCATCATTATTTAACTGTTGCAGTAAATACTAAAATACTATACAATTACTACTAAATATTATAATCTTAACTATCAAAAATGCTGAGGCGGTCGACTGCGACTCTCGATTACCCTTTATGCCTATCCACTGTGCTTAGTCTATTAAGATCAATACTCACGTATGCGGATGTCGTAGTTCGAAGACAGTTCGCGGAGGTCGGTGTCGTGTCGGCTGCGACGATCGGTGTCGGGTCGGCTGCGGCGATCGGTATTGTGTCGACTGCGGCGATCCGTATCGTGTCGGCTGCGACGATCGGTATCGTGTGGGCTGCGGCGGTCGAAATCGCGTCGTCGACCCCGTCCGGTGATGGCTGTGTCGGCCATCAACGTCAGTGCACGAAATACGGACACGTGGAAAACGGGCTTCGAAAGTAAGTAGCTTGACACATATAAACACACTATAGCAATAAACAATAAACTTGGTTTTTTATATAAAAATAATTACTTATACACAATGAACGGTATAGAACAATAAAGACAATAAAGACCATCCACTACCTGTAGAAGGATATCTCTAACTGCGGTCGATGCCGACTGTGGCACTGTGTTAGTGCACTAAGCGAGCAAGCTACCGAGCCACCGAGCCGAGCGTGGAGCCTGTTGATAAGAATGTTATAAATAAACGATTATAATCGGTATTGCAGTATTGGCGGAATCGAACTGCGGGCGAGTGCATGTAGCGTGACAAATGATGATTAGTGGAGGGGGTGACGGAGACTCGCGGTCCGACCATAATACCATAGTATCAGTATGGCCTCTTTAATATATTATAATTATAATTATTTATTATTATTATAGTATGGTATAAATTATAATTCTATATTTATATTGTAAAGGAGTAAATCCATAAAGCCTTCTATTATGCAATACATAATTATCTATATTTATCTGTATACAGTTGTCAGTTTGTATCAGTGATGCCCAACCACTTCCTAACAATTATTATCTTTGAGCGGGCCACCAAATATGAAAGTACGAATAATTTCAATAATCTAATTTTGTTACCCATAGTAGGTATACAATTATATACGTCGTGTAGGACATACATCGTAAATATTGTACTTGTTTTCTCATATTTTATTGATTACTAAAAAGATTAAAAATTGAGGTTAGGTAATAATTTTTACTTTTTTAAAAATATTTTGTTTTATTTGAAAAACGCGCAACGGGCTACAAAAAATACATTCGCCTGCCGCAGGTTGGATAGTGGGTACCACCAGCGAGGTGGCAGTAGCGTTAAAATGAGTCCGGACACAATTTACCGCCACCGCTGCTGAGTGTGTGGACCTTAAACTGTATATTCCACAGGGGGATCAGTGGAAAACGGATGTTTTTGAAATTAGTATAACTTGGTCTTCCAAGGTTACTGGCACTGTTATCTTGTAACTCGGGAATGTAGTCATGGACTATGGACAAGTTTTGCTTTTTTGCAAACAATATTCCCCGGGCGCGTTATTTCCCGACATGGTGACGTTCCCTGGCCTCCGCGCTCCCCCGATATCACTCCCTGTGACTTTTTCCTTTGGGGCTACGTAAAGTCAAAAGTGTAAGTGGACAAACCAAGAAACAGTTGAAGGAGTCAATTAGACGTGCAATTGTCGAAATTCCGGACGATATGGTGAAGAAAGTGATGGGCAACTTCAGGGACCGTCTTGAGCAGTGCATCAAAAAAAAAAAAACATTTTTTATTTTTTTCATTTTGTAAATAAAAATTACCATGTTCCTCTACACATTCTTTTTACTTTCAACCCAATATGACCAAATTTAACAATTTGACAGAGTTTTTAAATGTATCCGCCTTTTCTTGACCACTCTGTATATGCTTATCATTGTATCCATTGGTCTCATCAAGACTCAAACTTCAAAATTCTCTCATTTGATGGTTAAAATATTTCTTGGAACGCATTAGTGTAACATAATTAATTATACATTATAATTATACGGATTCATTAGTACTTACTCTATATAAACGCCAAACGGCTTCTGATGAAAATATATATTTGAATGATTTTTTAGTCCTTAAATCTGTAACTATTGATTTATTGATTTACTAGCTGACCCGGCAATGCATCGCTATTGCAAGATTTCTCAGATGTTAATTTGCTATACATTTTCTGGATGTTAAATAATTATTTTTATTTTAGACCACTTTTAGTCACTTCTCCATTCTGGAGCAGTGGGAATGGACCTTTTTAATGTAACCGTATAAATGTACACCACTGTGTATTCTTCATAATGTTGAAAAAAATTGATGCTTATTGCAAAATTTTTTTCATTTGATAAATATAATGTACGAAGCTCCAAAATACGTGTATGTATATTTTGTGTGTATAACTATGGACGGAAAAAAAGATACGAATTATACCATTATTTTGATAATTCAAGGACTTAAAAAATTTCTTTGTAAACGACGTTGTCAACTTTTTCTGGATCGGGGGCAAAAATATACAAATTAAATTTGGATGTCACACATGATAGAGCGACGTATAGTTTACCGCGAGAAAAACATTGAACGTTCAGGTTAATTCCAGCAACGTTAAGTGTTTGTCACTGTGCTTTATTTACAGTCATTACAAATGCTAATTTAATTGGAAATTGAATACGTTTAAACTGAAAAGGTAATCTAAGGTTACAATTTTTATTCTTGGTATTAAAACAGTTTTTCCAGTACCACAGCCCGTTAAGATTACGCACTTTGGCAATAAACTTCTCAATTTTTTGATTTGTAGTCCAAAGTCTTGTACCGTTGCAAAATGTGGGTGAATTTCTCATTGCCCTTTGAAAACGCCAAATCTCTGCATGACACTCGCTTGTTATAATGCGAGCAATATATTATCAGGTAGGATATTATATTATATTATACTATTATTATCGTACCTCACGCTTGGTAAATAGGTACTCTATATGAATAATATTTTTTTTTATTTTTTATTTTGACTGTGGATACGCCGATGAGCGGTTATGAGTGCAACTCAACCATCTTAGCAAGCAATTTGTGAAAATTCGACTAATTATTAGTTATTTTTTACCAATAACTAATATAACACTATTGATTATAAATACTAATGAGTATCTATAGATACTCCGATAAAATTAATTGTTTTTTTTTCGCTAAACTAAATAATTATAATAATTGTTTATTATTCCGTCGATACCGACCTGCCTAGAAGCATTTGTGGTTATCGAGTTTGATTGTTATTTATTTTCAGTCAGCTGCTATTTCTTACTAAAAAAAAGGTATAAGTATACAATTTACACGTTTATTTTAATTAATAATAACTAATTATTTATTAACTTATTCGGACTAAATTTATGCCTAAAACCTCTTCTGTGATGTCCTCTTTGATTTAAAAAACTGCATTACGATTGAATAAGTAGTTTGAGAGTTTATCTCGAACAAAAGAAAGCGACTTCATTTGATAATTTGATATAGTAGTATAAATAAACATGACAATACAAAAAAAAATAACAATAATTTTTTGTGTTCACACAAAGTATTTTTATTAGTTGAACAAAAAATGGTTGTACACAGTGGCTCTGCAGTCATGAACATTTTATAAATAAGTACATCATTTTTCAATACTAGGTTCAAATACAAAAATTTGAACAAAGAAATTAGGGAAACGAAATTTGATTAAAAAAAATAAAAATAGCACAAAGTAGCTGTCATAGTGACATAAACGTTGCATAAAATATGAATACATGATTTTTAAATACATGGTTAAAATACAAAAAAATAGGTGAATAAACAAATACTGAAAAAGCTAAATTTACTATTTAACTATGTTAATAGCTATTGTTTCGAAAAAAAATAAGGTACCTTACACGCAGAACACCCATTACGGTAATGCACGTATTTCAATAGGTGTATTTCTTACATTATACATATTTGATATTAAAATAAAAGTAATTTGTAAAGTTGAATAGGTACATAGTTAACAGGTAATTAAAATTAAAATTTGTGTCCAATGTCACTATACCACTGAGCGAGTGTCACTTTAATCTTATTTAAATACTATACGTTTTTTGTGTGTTATGTATGAGATTCTGATATTGTGTTTTTGAGTATTGCAAGACAAATTGAAGTACCAAGTACGTATATACGTATGACCAAGTCCGGATTAAAGGGGGGAGGCAAAGGGGGCCATGGCCCCCAAGCCTCGATAGTTGGAGCTTATTAAGGGGCCTCAGATTTGTCTGTTAATTTTTTCGTTATATACTGTACATTGCATAAATCACCTAAAAAGACCATGATAAATCTGCTGACGACATTATTTTCAATTACATATGTCAAATAAACCTCTTATAATAATTCATAATAATAATATACAGTTTTTACTACTAAAGTGTATAATACTTACCCGCATATTGCTACACACATTTTCAATCATAGCTTACCGTTGGCCGTCGCCCATCAATCAAACGGACAAGAGCTATTTTTGTACACCAGTACACAACAGTCAACAACACAACACGTCAACAACAAATTTGTCGTCTTCTGTTATCATTATTCGTTTTGACTCTTGTTAAATGAATAATGTTTAATCGTTATCGAGTTTCATTCTTTCCTCATATTTTAAAAATGAAAAGATATTTTGAAAGTGTGGTTCTTCAAAAAGAAAAGAAAAAGAAAAGAAAAAGAAAAAAAACAACAAATTGAAGTAATTAAGTACAGGGGCCTTATTTAAAATGTTGGCCCCGGGGCCTCAAAATGTCTTAATCCGGGTTTGCATATGACGTAACAGGGCTTAGACGGCTTTCCATACCACTTCATATTTTTCCTCTGCAAAGAACCTTGAGGAATCAAAGATCGCTCCTACCGCCCTCCCCTAAATTACGTACCTGCGTATACCCCGGTGACCATCCCTCCTCGGACCTCGGTAATCGGGTAACATGGGTATCTACGATCTACCCTTATCACTTGACGACGCATATACGTTAGGAGTGTTAGGACGGTGTTGTTTGTTTCATCAACAAGGGCTTACGAATTACGATTTTGAAAGATGTCTGAAGATTTCTAGTTTTTCCAACTAACAGGCTGAAGCCCCCCCCTCCCCATCGCTCGTATTATTGTTTTTTGTTTTTATATTTACCTCGATTTAATATAGTTTCTTAAATCGTGTGTTTACCTATTTATTACAAACCATTAGGACCAGTTGCACCGTCTCTGATTAAAGTTAACTGTAGTTTAATCGGCCGAATTTTCCCGGTTAAATATCTGTTATTAGCTGATTAAGCTTAATCGAAGTTTAACCGTAGATGGTGCAACTGGCCCTTATAGTCCTAAACTCATAAGGTTCATAGATAATATTTATCATGGATAATATTATTATACATTGCCATAGTCATGATTAAAAAATTGATCAAAATCAAAGGTACTACCTATAGCTATATGAAGCGACTACAATTAGTAGACTGGACCAAATAAAAATTTATTTTATTGCTCATTATTTTTGTTATTATATTTTTTGTTAGTTCTTTTTTCATGTATTTTTTCTTGTTCTATTTTATGCTTAATTTAATTAAGAAATAATAAAGCACTTTATTATTCAAACTTATAATCTTGTGACAAC